GGCTCGGGATGCAGTAAGTCGAGTGTCCGGTTTAATTACTATCTGGTCCTACTCCTATGGGGAGTTTTACAGTTGCGGCATTATGTCGTAATTAATGAAGACCAAATAATCCACGGGCACTTGCCAAATCGAGGGGAGAAGTAATCGGATGGCCGCGTATGAGGTGCTGTTGCGTCCACACAAAGTAGGCGAGCTTTACAACAAAAAAACAATGGGAAATGATTGTAAATTTTCTAAGCCTGCATGGAATATGTCGTTTACAGCGCTGGCATGGTGTCTAATTACGTGGAATTGCCTGTGTCTCAGCGAACATAGTTTTCTCCATTTGTCGTCTCAACTGACAAACTGAAGACCCGTGTCGAAAACAAAATTGAGCACATACCTTAGATCAAGTGTGTCCCTGCATCTGTCGGCCACGGAAGTATACATATAGCAGTGTTGGACCAAAACTCCGTCTCAATTTCTGTTTCCTCCTGCTCTGGGGTTTCAGTATGTCTGGATGAAAATGACAGTGAGTTAGAAGTAGTGCCTTAGCAACCATTGCCTTTATCGGTACAAAGTTACATCTCCTGAGCACCTGTCGTTTTGTGAACAGCTATACGCGCAAGGCAGGGAAGTCAGATCTGCCGTCATTCAAAGGATCGCTAACGCCCCTTCTATGTAGCTTTGGAGGTCTTAGAACAAAGCCGTTAAAAAGCTGGCGTATTGCGAGAGAGTATCTTGGCAAACCCCGAGAACTGCTCTAGAAAACAAGGACGTACTCGTCACCAAGCTGGACGAGGTTCTGGTCTTGTCCCAGTTAGCAAAAATTATTGTTCAAAAGCTGAGCCAATCTGGGTTGGTGGAGCTAAGTACGGAAGAGAACCTCAGAAGTGGAACTGAAACGAAGTCATAGAAGTCAAGTCCGCGGCAGTTGTCTAAGGTTCCTTCCTTGAAGAAGAATTCGAGTTCCCTAAATCCATCGGTACGAGTTCCCAGGGGCCTAATGCTTTGTCCGAGATTCTCAAACTTGGCCCCCCTATGTGTCCTGTGGCAGTCAAGGATGGAAGATAAACTATAACCACACACAATAATTTCGTCCTGTCTAATGTCAGACGTCAGGGAACTGTGCGAACAGGTTTATTCTGTACACAGGGCAGGTTGACTTCAGTTGGCTGTTTGCTTGTGTCAAAGCAAAGCGTCCGTTCGAGGGAGCGTCAGTCGCGGTGCGGTATTTACACGGGTGTCACATGTCCGTGTTTGCATGAAGGAACGTCTAGCCGAGTGTTGGACATGTAACTGGTTGGTTTAGGGTCGGAGTCAGGTGGCATGATAACAAGAGCACATGGGTAACAAGCCAGACTGCCCGATGCGTGTGAGTCGGCAACGGTTCGGGTTCGCAGTCATGCCGCATTACAGCTGAACAAGAGGCGTCCCGGTTCGAGTCTGAGGGGTGGCCGTGCATCAGGGCTGTGTCTGGAGGTTAGCGAGATTGTCGCGGTCATCGAAAGACAAAGAGACGCCGTGAAAGGAGGCATTGGAGCGGCTGCTGCAGTCCCACAGTGGACGTGTTGAATTTGTCATATCGCCTTACTGAAGTGTTTGGCCAAATCACTCAAGTCCATTTAGTGCGAAGTACATGTGTGCAGTTTGCGAGACACTTGAATTAGTTGACTATTTAAGAATGTCGAATCGTAATGGGAAAACACTACTACTCCTGGACGTCTCGTCTTTCTTCAATAGCATTAGCCCTATGGAGGCGAGGCGCCATGGATTTAACGAGACTGAAAAACAGTTGAAACGGTGGAAAGGCAGGGATCGAAAACGCTGCCCTGGTTCCAAACAGGCAAATGAAGGTGCGTGCAATACGCGGTCTGTGGTAATAGGGCTTTTATGGGTAGGGCTGTAAGAAAACAATGGAAAAGGTGACCGATGAATTTAGCTTGTAAAAAAATAACCCAAAAAGCACAGCAGTTGCTTAAGTGAATTTAAAAATGGTAATATAATGGCCGCACAGTTAAAAGAATACTAAAGGCAACCTAACACACCAGGGGCGCATGGGAAGCACATAATTGGACGGTCAGCGTCACTGAAACTGAACCGGATAAATATATAGCCGGTGGGAATCAAGTGGGGATGCTAATGCCATGGAAAATGGGTGCGTAGTAATCAGTCATCCAGGAGCGCGAAAACTGCCATGAAAATTTAAGGAAAGGGTGAAGTCGACAAGAGGTAATGAAAATAGTGGTAAAACCTAAGCAACTTTGGCGAATGTGATGGTAAGTAAAACCTAAGTTATGAAATCGTAGCAAAAGTCACAATAGTCTAATGAAAATGGTAAAAGACACGCTGTGTTCAGAAAACGTAGGTAACTTTTTAACAGCGATAAATAGGCCCTCATTATTCCGCCTTTTATGTTGTAGAACGGAAACCACGGCTACTGCAGGTCGATGAACTAAAACGAATGTTCGCTTCAGGAAAGGAAACCCATACCTTGGAACCTTATTTGTCGCTGCTGGAGAACAGTGCGGCTGCAAAAATTCAAACAACACAGCGATGGTTTCACGTTTAAGTGCAATAGATGCGGAATAAGAAGAACACTAAGGAGTGAGACTATATTTGAAAGTAGTAGGCTGACAAATGGGCAGGCTCTAAGGATATGTTATAATTTCCTCGAAGGAGTAAGAGTAAGACGCTGTGCCGTAAAAGTCGGTGTACGTCATGGAACTACAGTAGAATAGTATAGCAAATGTAGGGACGTCTGTTCTAAAGCATTAATGGCAGAAGGTAATCAGCCAGGTGGACCTGGATTTGAAGTTCAAATTATTGAAACACTAATAGGTAGATGGAAATATACTAAATGGAGACTAAGGTGACAGGGCTGGGTAATAGGCATGTATGATGTCCAAAAAAGAAAGCCATGTTTTAGCAAGTGAATAATCGCACGTGGTCAGCAAATAGTCCTCGTCCCCGACCCGTACCGGAGCGTTGTCGGGAAAACAGCCCTGTACATCCTCAGTTTAATGTCGCTTGGACAGTTCCAGACCGAGCGCTCCAGCCGGCTGAAGGCTTGGGGTAGCTCTGAAGCCCGACTTACGATGGTTCTTGCAACGTTACCGCCAAGGTACGCGAATTAGCCAACTGCTGGCAGGTGAGCTCCATTGAGGCCCCTAGTCAGTATTTGGCGCCGACTGCTGCAGGACCACTGTCTTCTCCTCCATGATGGCCTGGGAAAACGTAGAGCAGCCGGAAGCGAAGAGGTCCTGTGGGGCCTGGGGCGCATATAAGCCCTCCCCCTAGAAAACATGTGACCACAGCTCCAGGGTGGCTGGACCACACGCACACGTAGCTTTTAGAACAACCAAGCGCAGGCGTCTAGAAACCCCGTTAACCACTCAATCAGCTTACAAAGCTGGCACTGTCTGACTCATGCTCGAGTCGTCCGGCTGGGCCTCGTAGCTCAAGTGTTTAGAGCGTTGCCTATACTAAAGCCTTCTACTTACTGCGTGGGTTCGAATCCCACCGAGGCGCCGTTTTTCACAGTTGAGTCAATATAAAAATGGTCTGTTTACGATCACGCCTGATAGTTCTATTTTAATTTATTAGGCACCGACCGGCCACATGGCATGTCGCCTTATGAAAAATTTAAATCCTACGACGTCCCCATCGGTGAAATCAAGCAAAATCCAGCGTCTTTTGTTAAACTTCATCTCATTTACTTCAAAGAAATAGAAAACAAGAGGACTCACTGGAAAACTCTTTTGGAATCTGCTCTCAGAAAGTAGGCAGTTGACACACCGTCATATACGAAATCACACTACTTATTAAACGATATTTAGATGAAAACTTCACTAAAACACTGTTATTAGACGTTATTTTATGTCTGATTTCATATTTGCCACGTTTTTGGTATGAGAATAAATTCTATACATTTAAAAACGGACTTTACTTAATTAGAGCCATTTCTGACGTTTTCGGGATATTACGCTTCTCAAAATCAATCGGCATTTCTAGACAACGCCACACTGCCTTTAATGTTTCTTTTATGTTTTTAATTCTTTTAAACTTTTATTTAATTAACATGGACATTGGACTCTTGGAATGGTGTCGATTTGTGAGTGATTGGAAATCATTCGTAAATTTCGAAATATTTCATGAGCTAGGTCACTAACTGTAGGTTCCCAGGAGAAGGAAGAGAGCTTTGTCATTGCCGGCGGCGATTCCGTGAGGACCCAGCACTCCCCCCAGGCAGCGCAGCCCGTCCCCACGTGGGTATTGTAGTCACCAAGGGTAGCCAGCCTGTCCGCCTGCGTCACAGACGTCCGAAGGGTGCGCAGGTCTTCGTAGAACTTGGTCTTTGCTTCGTCCGAGCTGGTCATTGTTGGGGCGTAGGCGCTGATGATGGTGGCGAAGTTGGCTACCCCAAGGAGGGGCAGACGCAGGCTCATCAGGCAATCGTTGATATCCTGTGGCAGGCAGGGATGTCGCTCCTCGAGGTCGTTTCAAGTGGAAAAGACGATGCCCACGTCTGGTTGCTCTGCCTTGGGACCGCGGCTCCAGAAGAAGGTGTAGCCGGCACCCACCTCCTTCAGCTGACCTTCTTCGGAGAATCGGGTCTCGCCGAATGCAGCGATGTCCCTCTTGTAGTACAGCGAGTCCCGGACGACAAGCGCCGTACTCCGTTCCGGTCGGTTGCTCCGCGGATTGTCTGAAAGGGAACGAGCATTCCAGGCTGCCAAAGTGAGCGGACTTACCCTAGCAGCCTGGGGGGTTGAGCGGATGGAAGGGGGACAAGAGAGGTTTTTGTTTCTTTTTTCGTTGTTCCGACCCCAGGTAGTGAAGTTTGCAAGCCACGATCTGCGCGCAGATACCGTGAACTCAGCTTTGTTTAGGGCATCATCTATAACCTCACCACCCTCGTAGGTGTAAGCAGTGCTGTCCCTACATAAGGCTGTTATGTCGTCCCAGACGACTGCCGAAATCCACCACGAGTCACGTACTGGTTTAGTGAGAGGACGATCTGACTAGCGTCGGCCGCCTACGTGACCGCATGTCACTCGCGCCGTAGGGCTTTTGATCGTGGGCGCAGGGAGTAGAGCGAATGAAGGGCGGAGAAAAGGTGCCCAGGAGTAGAATGGGGCAGGTCTTCCAGCTACTGGGTAAGTAGCTTTCTGTGTGCTAAAATGCAGGGGAGAACAGTCAAAGACAACCAAGAGGTATTCAGGATACCTAGGGGGTCACTTAGCATGTGGCCTCCTGTGGGGTTGCAGGCGGAGCCTCATCTTAGAGGTGGCGATGCGGTGACTCGTACTCCCGGCGGCGATGGAAAAGGGGGCGGAAATACTGTATGCGGATATGCACGCAAGGATACTCTTACCTGGTTTGGCCCGCCGGCCGAGGTAGCTGGCGGGCTGTGGCCGCTATATAGAGCCTGGCTTCGGGAAGCCACATGTGAGAGTTGGGTGCTAGTTATTGGATGCCGGACGTAATCAACGCCTGCATGAATGCGAGTGGCCCACTACGACCTTCATGTCGATCTAGAACTTGGCATCCCATACACCATTTGCCCCTAGTACTGTTCGGTGTTTGTATTTACCTGCTTGCTATCAGCCGGCAAGTTAGTCCATTGAGTTTTTGCAACCCCTGCAGGACGCTGAAATACTAATAATGGTCAAGATTTCCTCAGTCATTGAGTTATAATTTTTGATGCCGTATAAATATCAACGACTGCCCGTGATGTCCAGTGTGTTGCCGTGCTAATGGACCCAGAACACGGCTCATGGACGGCTGAAAACAGTATGGTAGAGAGGGTCCACCGCCACTATGAGAGATAAGATATCATGTCCCACACTTCTGAAACATTAGATTCATCGACGTCACAACAAAGACGTCCGTAGGTACCCCTTTTTCTTTCTTTATTTCCGCTAGGGAGGCGCAGACAGCTAAAACTCGGAGCAACTTCCACTTCAACACTCGCAACGTCGACCAGACGTCCAGCTTGTAACAAATCTTTAAGCAAAGGCAGTGTTTTCAACAAAAGATCCGTGACCATTTCCATGCTTCTACTGCAGTGCTCGACGTTATCAAGAAACCATGGAGGCCGGTGGTATGGCGTGAAACTCATAAACTTATTTAGGGCACATTACTAATTCACAAAAACAAACGTCCGGATTTATGGTGATGAGGCAAGTACTTCGTCGTTAGGGTTGTTTCTCGTAAGAATGGATGTCGTCAACTCGCAAACCATCGTCTTACTGCACTAAGGTATCAAAGAAATCTATGAGTATCCTATGCGCGATTAGAAGATCCCTGCTCAATTTCGACAGAGAACTTTTCGGCCGAGTATTTGGAGCACTCTTTCGACCAATGTTGGAATATGGTGTTCAGGCATGCTGTCCCTGGACGAAACAAGATTACACCCTACTGGAGAACGTACAACGAACAGCGACCAAGCTAGTTGGCGGATTAAGTAGATTACCTTATAAGAGGCGTCTGGAAAAGTTAAAAATATTTCCTTCCTCTTATAGACAATACAGAAGGAATATGGCCACGGCCTTCAGGATCGTCTGAGGGCTAGACTGTGCTCTTGAGTTTGACAATTTCGTCGTACTAGCGCGGACAACAAATCTTCGAGGCCACCAATACAAACTGAAATTAAAATATGCCAAACACGAATTGTGAGCCAAATTCGTCTCCCACCGGCTGGTTGAAAAATGGAACAAACTACTGAATTCGTTGTCTTAGCGGAAAACGTTGAGACCTTCAAAAGAAAACTAGATACATTTATGCTTTATGGACAAACATTTACACGATATCAATGACTGGCATAACTGCTATGCAGATATCTGCATGTTTTCTTTCATACGTCTATCTGTATATAGAATTTTCTAGGGCCATGCTTCTATCCCTCATATATATTGGATTGTATTAAATTATACTGAAATCTTAAGATAATAAATGTTCTTTAACCTCTAAAAACGTCAGACCAGGCCACGGGTAGACGGAGCGGGATATTGACGTCAGTTGAATGACAAATGTATTATGTACAGAAAAGTTGAAAGACGGTTGGATTAACCTGCGCGGGACGCACACTCTCGTGTGGCTAGCGGAGAATTTGAGTGTGTAAGGGGCTCAAAGCAACGTCATCTCACCTTGGAGCTTACTGACTAAATCGAAGGATCCTGATGGACGGACTGACCAAGTCTCACAGTAATGTAATTGACCTTGACGATAGCAAGTATTTGTAGTGACATTTAAGTGCGTTTCGTTTTTATCAGTTATAATACGCTTTTTAAATAACTTGGCACAACTCTGAATGAGACAAAGAACTAATACTTGCATTTTTACCCGCTGAGGACTTTTTTCTTATGTACGAATTTGTAACTGTTTGGATACTTGAGTATCTTCGTTTCCCAGATAGCCTACTTTCTGTGCCCAACTAATGGGTTTATCACTTACACCGGTGACCTTATATCGTTCATAACTCCTTCTGCTTCATATATGTGCATAACTATTCGTATTCGGATTAATCGTCACTCTACTTTTTGTTGATCAGATTATTTATCCAGCCCTAATTTGTTAATCACTCTGTCTCACCTTTTCATCCAATACGAGCGCTAAACTTCAATTTCACTGTCAACGCGTTAGTCCTCTTTCCCAATTGTCTGACCCCTAACCAACATCGGCTAATTATGTCCACCGATTCTACCAGCCAGCCGATAACCGGCATTCACACCTTTGATCTGCCATTCGTGTGGCTAGGTGACACCGTTTTGTGGCTGCGCACAGTGGAGTCCCGTTTTGCCCTCCGTCAGATTACATGAGAGGATACGAAGTTTTACCATGTTGTGGATGTCCCCACTCTTGAAGTTTCCCAGCTCCGGGTCACTCGTGTCTATAATCTTCGTAGTCCTGCAATTTCTCGCCGTCCGAGATCTCCCACTCCAAACCAACCTACGGTTGATGGTTTCTGTTGGTTTAATTACAATTATGGTTCTAACGCCCATTGCTGCCACTCTCCGTGCAAGTATAAAACACCCTCGTCGGAAAACTCCCCTGCCGACCAGTAAGGGTGACGAACGTGGTTGGCACATCCTCTCCCAGTCGATTACTCCACATCTATGACAGGACTTCCTGATGTAATTTTCTCGTGGATACTGGTGCGGAGATCCGTCTGATTTCACCTACCTTGACTGATTGTAAATTACTAAACTGTTCATTTTTCCTTCAGGCAGCTAACAAGACTTCTATTAAAACTTTTGGTCAACGATCCCTAACGTTAGATTTGGGTCTAAGACGCTAATTTCGTTGATTATTTACTATCGCTGATTGTTGGTGTTCTTTAGATTCAGTGCTGTTTTATTCACCTGAATAGACGCACCCGAGGTCAAAGCAATGTCAGAAGACAGTCAGGATAACTCGGTTATTCCTTGTGGTTCTATAGCAATAAACAGTGAGATTAGCGGAGCACAATAGAGTTGATAAGGTGGAGAATAAATTGAAAAGTGGACGTACATTCGAGGTGATAAGACGAGCAGTCAGCGAATGGCGCCAAAGTGTGGTGGTCGGTTTATAAGCGAGCGGCAACAAAGAGCAATAGGCAATGGACAGGGAACAATGAACAAGGAATGACAAGGACCGACGAATAGGGATACAAAGACAAAGACAGGGCGGTGTGCGTAAAGTCTGGTTACTAGCAAACGGTTAGTAGCAAAGTAAAGACAAGAATAGAAATTGACATCAGGGATGTCACACTCCCCCGCGGAGTCGCGGTCTCCGAGGGCCTGAAAGCGTCACGGAGTTTCCATTTGATCCACTTCTCCTTCCAGTGGGCAAACTTGACGTATGTCCCTCCGTAGATGACCTTTTGCTGTGCGAGCGGTGACTCCACGAATTAAGTTGTCCGATCCTGCGTGTACTTCTTCGATTATTGCCTTAGACCAGACACGTCGGGGTTTGTCTGCCGCCATTAGCAGAACATGTTGACCAATCCTGTGACCCGCTTGCGCAGACTTCCACTTCCGACAAACTGCGAGTGTCGGTAGGTAGGCTCTTAACCATTTCTTCCAATAGGTATCCGCTAGGAGTTGTGCCTGTCGCCATCTGCTATTAAATTGATTCTTCGGATTCGTACTTGATATTGGCTCGGACGAATTA